TATAGGTAAACATGTATCACCAGGGATGTTGTACAGATTATTTCATCACCCAGGTATTAAGCACAGTACCTAACAGTTATTTTTTCTGCAGCTGGGCACAGTGGCTCACGCCTGTAATCTCAGCACTTTGGGAGGCTGAGGCGGGCAGATCACTTGAGGTCAGGAGTTCAAGACCAGCCTGGGCGACATGGTGAAACCCAGTTTCAACTAAAAATACAAAAATTAGCCGGGTGTGGTAGTGGGCACCTGTAATCCCAGCTACTCAGGAGGCTGAGGCATGAGAATTGCTTGAACCCAGAAGGCAAAGGTTGCAGCGAGCCTTAATCATGCCACTACATTCCAGCCTGGGTAACAGACCAAGACTCTGTCTCGAAAAAAAAAAAAAAGTTACCTTTTCTACTCCTCTCCCTCCTACTCTCCCCTCTCAAGTAGACCCCACCAGCCGTGTCTGTTGTTTCCTTCTTTGTATTCGTAAGTTCTTGTCATTTAGCTCCCACTTATAATGAGACATGTAGTGTTTGGTTTTGTTCCTTTATTAGTTTGCTAAGGATGATAGCCTCCAGCTTCATTCATGTTCCTGTAAAAGACATGATCTTCTTTTTTATGGCTGCATAGCACTCAATGGTATATTTGTACCACACTTTCTTTATTCAGTCTGTCATTGACATGCATTTAGGTTAATTCCCTGTCTTTGCTATTGTGAATAGTGCCGCAATGAACATCCTCGTGCATGTGTTTTATGGTAGAATGATTTATATTCTTCTGGGTATATTCCCAGTAATAGGATTACTGGGTCAAATGGTAGTTCTGCTTTTAGCTCTTTGGGTTTTTTTTCCCTTTAGACCAAATCTTGCTCTGTCATCCAAGCTGAAGTCCAGAAGTACGATCTCAGCTCACTGCAACCTCCACCTCTGGAGTTTAGCAATTCTCCTGCCTCAGCCTCCTGAGTAGCTGGGATCATGATGGATAAGCTTTTTGATGTGCTGTTGCAATCGGCTTGCCAGTATTTTATTGAAAATGTTTGAATCTATGTTCATCATGGATATTGGCCTGAAGTTTTCTTTTTTTGTTGAGTCTCTGCTGTGTTTTGGTATCATGATGATGTTGGTCTCATAAAATGATTTGGGAAGGATTCCCTCTTTTTGGATGGTTTAGAATAGTTTCAGAAGGAGTGGTACTAACTCCTATTTGTATGTCTGGTAGAATTTGGCTGTGAACCCATCTGGACCTGGGCTTTTTTTTTGGTTGGTAGGCTATTAATAGCTGCCTCAACTTCAACCCTTATTATTGGGTCTTGTCAGGGTTTTGACTTCTTCCTGGTTTAGGCTTGGGAGGGTGCAGTGTCCAGGAATTTATCCATTTCTTCCTGGTTTACTGGTTTGTGTGCATAGCATTGTTTGTAGTAATCTCTCATGTTTGTTTGTATTTCTGTGGAATTGGTGGTGATACCCCCTTTATCATTTTTGATTGTGTCTATTTTATTCTCTTTTCTTTTGTATTAATCTGGGTAGCAGTCTATTTTGTTCATCTTTTCAAAAAACCAGCTCCTGGATTTATTGATTTTTTTGAAGAGTTTTTTGTGTCTCTGTCTCCTTCAGTTCTGCTTTGATCTTAGTTATTTCTTGTCTTCTGCTAGCTTTTGAGTTTTTTTTTTTTTTATCTTGCTCCTCTAGCTCTTTCAATTTTGACAATAGGGTGTCAATTTTAGATTTTTCCTTGCTTCTCATGTGGGCATTTATTGCTATATATTTTCCTTTAGGGACTGCTTTAAATGTGTCCCAGAGATTCTGGTACATTGTGTCTTCATTCTCGTTGGTTTTGAAGAACATCTTTATTTCTGCCTTCATTTCATTGTTTATCCAGTCAACATTCAAAAGCCAGTTGTTCTGTTTCCATGAAGTTGTGTGGTTCTGAGTTAGTTTCTTAATCCTGAGTTCTAATTTGATTGCATTGTGATCTGAGAGACTGTTATGGTTTCTGTTCTTTTGCATTTGCTGAGGAGTGATTTACTTCCAATTATGTGGTCAATTTTAGAGTAGGCATGATGTGGTGCTGAGAAGAATGTATATTCTGTGGATTCGGGGTGGAAAGTTCCATATATGTCTTAGATTTGCTTGTTCCAGGTCTGAGTTCAAGTCCTGGATATCATTGTTAATTTTCTGTCTCATTGATCTGTCTAATATTGACAGTAGAGTGTTAAAGTCTCCCACTGTTATTGTGTGGGAGTCTAAGTCTCTTTGTAGGTCATTAAGAACTTGTTTTATGTATCTGGCTGCTTCTATATTGGGTACGTATATATTTAGGTTCATTAGCTTTTCTCGTTACATTAATGCTTTTACCATTATGTAATGCCCTTCTTTGTCTCTTTTAATCTTTGTTGGTTTAAAGTCTATTTTATCAGAGACTAGGATTGCAACTCCTGCTTTTTTTTTTTTTTTTTTTTTGCTCTCCATTTGCTTGGTAAATCTTCCTCCATTCCTTTATTTTTAGCCTTTGTGTATCCTTGCATGTGAGATGGGTTTCCTGGATACAGCACACTGATGGGTTTTGACTTTTTATCCAATTTGCCAGTCTGTGTCTTTTGATTGGGTTATTTAGTCTATTTACATTTAAGGTTAATATTGTTATATGTTAATTTAATCCTGCCATTTTGATGCCAGCTGGTTGTTTTGCCCATTAGTTGATCCAGTTTCTTCATTGTGTTGATGCTTTTTACTATTTGGTATGTTTTTGGAGTGGCTGGTACTGGTTGTTCCTTTCTATGTTTAGTGCTTCTTTCAGGAGCTCTTGAAAGGCAGGCCTGGTGGTGATGAAGTCTCTGAGCAATTGCTTGTTTGTAAAAGATTTTATTTCTCCTTTGCTTATGAAGCTTAGTTTGGCTGGATATGAAATTCTACATTGAAAGTTCTTTTCTTTAAAGATGTTGAATATTGACCCCCCACTCTCTTCTGGCTTGTAGGGTTTCTGCTGAGAGATCCGATGTGAGTCTGATGGGCTTCCCTTTGTGAGTAACCCGACCTTTCTCTCTGGTTGCCCTTAGCCTTTTTTCCTTCATTTCAACCCTGGGGAATCTGACGGTTATGTGCCTTGGGGTTGCTGTTCTTGAGGAATATCTTTGTGGTGTTCTCTGTATTTCCTGGACTTGAATATTGGCCTGCCTTGCTAGGTTGGGGAAGTTCTCCTGGATGATATCCTGAAGAGTGTTTTCCAGCTTGGATTCATTCTCCCTGTCACATTCACATACATCTATCAAATGTTGATTAGATCTTTTCACATAATCCCGTATTTCTTGGAGGCTTTGTACATTTCTTTTTACTCTTTTTTCTCTAATCTTGCCTTCTTATTTTATTTCATTGAGTTGATCTTCAATCTTTGATATCCTTTCTTCTGCTTGGTCGATTCAGCTATTGAAACTTGTGTATGCTTTGCGAAGTTCTTGTGCTGTGTTTTTCAGCTCCATTATGTCATTTATATTCTTCTCTAAGCTGTTTATTCTTGTTAGCATTTTGGCAAACCTTTTTTCAAGGTTCTTAGTTTCTTTGCATTGGGTTAGAACATGTTCTTTTAGCTCAGAGAAGTTTGTTATTACCCAGCTTCTGAAGGCTGTTTGTGTCAATTCATCAGACTCATTCTCCATCTAACTTTGTTCCTTTGCTGGTGATAATTGTAATCCCTTGGAGAAGGAGAGGCATTCTGATTTTGGTTGTTTTCATCCTTTTTGCACTGGTTTCTTCCCATCTTTGTGGATTTACCTACCCCTGGTCTTTGTAGTTGGTGACTTTCAGATGGAGCCTCTGAGTGGATGTCCTTTTTGTTGATGATGAGGTTATTTCTTTCTGTTTTTTAGTTTTCTTTCTAACAGTCAGGCCATTCTGCTGCAGGACAGTTGGAGGTCTACTCCAGACCCTGCTTGCCTGGGAATCACCTGCAGTGGCCTCAGAACAGTAAGGGTTGCTGCCAGTTTCTTCTGTTATCTTCGTCCCAGAAGGATACCTGCCCGATGTCAGCCTGAGCTCTCCTTTATGAGGTGACTCTTTGAACATATGGAGGTCAGGGAGTTGCTTGAGGAGACAGTCTGTCCCTTATAGGAGCTCAATTGCTGACCTGTGAGCTCCATTGTTCTGTTCAGAGCTGCTGGGCAGGTATGTTTAAGTCTGCTGCAGCAGAACTCATAACTTCCTTTTTTCCCAGGTGCTCTGTCCTGGGAAGGTGGGGCTTTAATTATAATTTCCTGATGTGCTGCTGCCTTTTTTCAGAGCTGCCCTGCCCAGCAAGGAGGTGGCCTAGTCACAGTCTGCCAGCAGAGGCATTGCTGAGCTGCCATGGGCTCTGCCTAGCTGCTTTGTGAACTTCCTTGCGGTTTTGTTTATAGAGGTGTAGTTAGAACTGCCTCGGTAATGACGGTCTGCCTTGGTAATGGCGGACTGCCTCAGTAGTGGCAGACGCCCTTCCCACACAAAGCTGGACCATCCTAGCTCCAGCTGCGCTTGCTGCAAATCTCTCAGTCCAGAGTGTTTCAGATTGCTGGTCTTTGTGGGGCTGGGACTCGCTGAGCCAGATCACCTGGCTCCCTGTTTTAGCCCCCTTTTTTTCAGTTGAGTGGGCGGCTCTGTCTCCCAGGCATTCCAGGTGCCAGTTGAAACAGCGGCCCAGATTTGTGTTTTTATGCGGTGACCCGCTGAACCAGCTGAAACAGCCATGCTGGAAACTTGTGGTGCTTTTCAGCCAGGGAATCTCCTGGTCTGTGGGCAGTAATAACTCATTTGGAAATGCAGCATTCACTCACCCTCTGTGTTGTTCTTGCTGGAAACTGCACTCCAGAGCTTTTCCTGTTTGGCCATTTTGGATCTGTCCGTTATATATGTTTTAAATGGAAAAATTAATCTATTTACATTCAAGCTTATTATTGATATGTGAGGCTTTGTTACTGTCATGTTGTTAATTATTTTCTGTATTTTTTTTAAAAAATCTTTTCTTTTTCTCTTTTTTTTTTCTTTCAGTCTTTATAGAGACTGTCAAAAATTGCCAATGCTGACTATACTGCAAGTTGGCATGGCAGTGTATTGGGAAAACTTTTCAATTAGCAATAATTGCACCTTGGATAAACCTCATTGGCTATGATACTGCCACTGTGCTAAGCTTCTTTTCTTTTTCTCTTATTGATTGTTGTGGTTTGGTGGATTTCTGTAGTGGTACCATTTAAGTCATTTCTCTTTCTCCTTTGTGTGATTAATTTAGCAATGAGTTTTATACTTTTGTGTGTTTCCTTGATAGTAAATGTTACCTGTCCTCCTCTTCCTCCTCCTCCTTTTCTTCTTCTTTCTCTTCCTCTTCTTTTTGCGACAGAGCCTTGCTCTGTCATCCAGGCTGGAGCACAGTGGTGCAATCTCTGCTTACTGCAACCTCCACCTCCTGGGTTCAAGTGATTCTCATGCCTCAGCCTCCTGAGTAGCTGGGAAGGTATGCATCACCATGCCTGGCTAATTTTTGTATTTCTGGTAGAGACAGGGTTTTGCCATGTTGGCTAGGCTGGCCTTGAACTCCTGGCCTCAAGTGATCTGCCCACCTTGGCTTCCCAAAGTGCTGGGATTACAGGTGTGAGCCACTGCGCATGGTCTAAATGTTATCCTTTTACTTCTAGGTTTAGGACTCTTGAGCATTTCTTGTAGAACTGGTCTAATGGTAAGAAATTCCCTCATCATTTGCTTGTCAGTGAAGGGCTTTATTTCTCCTTTATTTATGAAGGATAATTTTGCTGGATATAGTACTAGTGGTTGGCATCCACCACCCACAGCACTTTGAATATATCATTCTGTTCTCTGGACTGTGGGTTTTCCACTGAGAAATCTAGCATTAGTCCTATGGGGTTTCCTTTTTAGCTGACTAGATGCTTTGCTTTTGCTGTTTTTAGGATTAGCTTTTTATCTTTGACTTCAGACAGTGTGATTATAATGTGTTGGAGACAATCATTATATATTGAATCTTCCTGGCGATTGCCAAGCCTCTTGTGTCTGAATGTCTAAGTCTGTTGCTAGACTTGGGAAGGTTTCATCTATTATTTTATTACATAGGTTTTCTAATCCTTTCTTTGTTTCTGTACCGTCAGGGATACTGATTATTTTTGCTTTAAGTTGTCCCAAGTGTCACAAAGGCTTTGTTCTTTCTTTTTAATCATTTTTTCTTTATTTTTGTCTGACTGGATTATTTAAAAAAAAAAACTGTTTTCAAGTTTTGAGATTCTTCTGCCCAATCTAGCCTATTGTTAAAGCTTTCAAATGTATATTGCATTGCCTTGAATGATTTCTATCTCTTTGGTAAATTTCTCATTCATATCCTGAATTGTTTCTCCAATTTCTTTACAATTTTTAGAATTCTCTCATATTTCACTGAGCTTCTTTAAAATCAATATTTTGAATTCTTTATTTTCAATTTTTAAAAATTTCTTTTTGATTATGATCTATTGCTGGATAATTACTGTGTTTATTTGGCAGTGTCATATTTCCTTGTCTTTTCATGTTTACTGTGATATGTTTACTTTCATGTTACTATGAATATCCTTACATCAATATCTCCACATCTGATATAATGGTCACTCTTCCTGTTTTTAAATTTATTTTTGTAGGGGAAGACTTTTTCCTAAAAATGTATCTGTGGTGTTGGTTGGATAGGGCACTTTGGCTTTGATTCTGGGTGTGTATAGTAATGTAGTCTTTTTTTGATTTATCTGGTTGTAAACAGTATTAGTGTCATCTGCGATGTCCTTGGTGGGTTAGGATGTGGTGAAGTTGTGCTGGGAACTGGGATGCTATGTTAGTCAGGCTTCAGGTCCCAGTAGTGGTAGCAATGGGCCAACTATGTCTATCTTGGTGTGGTTCAGGGTGGCGTGCACTGAAGTTACCATTGGGCCAATTCTTAGGCCTCCAGATGGCTTGCTTGGATGCTGGTAATGGCAGCAGTGGAGTATGTGGGTGGGCAGGATCTCAGGCCTCTGGGCAGCCAGTGTGGCATGGGCAGTGGCAAGTAGCCCATCGGTGGAGTGATTCTCTGGGTTCCAAGCAGTGTGCATGGATGTTGGCTGTGGCTGTGATGGGCTGAGTGGGCCAGACTCCAGGCCTGCAGGTGATGCTTGCAGGCGGGTGGCAGCTGAAGTGGTAGAAGTTAAGAGTTTAGGCCCAATCTCAGGTCCCTGGGAGGAATGCTTAGGTGCTCAAGGTGGTTGATTGGGTTGGGTAATCCTCTGGACTCTAAGCTATATGTTCTATTTCAGAGAGATAGGTAAACCCAGGCTGGGTGGGCTTGTGCTCAGGCCCCACAATAATGAGCGTAGGTACCAGCCATGGTCTGCAGGGGCAGGGTGATCCTCAGACCACAGATGGAGTGCTTGGGTAAAGGGTGGCAGCAGCTGCACCGAGGCCCTGCCACTGGAGAGGGTGGGGCCATCCTCAGTGGCCACAGCCTGGGCCAGAGGGTAGGAAAAGCACATCTGTCTTATGCCCCAGTTCCAGTGGGGCTTGTTTCCCACCCCAGCAGTAGTAGCTTGTTCCTAGTTTATGCCCCCTCCCTGTCTACAGGAGCTCCCACCCAGCTGGCAACTAAGACCAAGCTGCAGCTCACACCCTGCTAGCATCTGAGTCTCTATACCAGTGGCACTCACTTCTTGGCACAACAGCTGCTGCCCATACCTTGCTTGCTTCTTAGCTCTGGCTATGGGACAACTTCCAGCTCATTCCCCAGTCCCAGGAGCAACAGAGTCTCTGTAATGCCTCAGTCTTGGCACCGCTGGGCCTCAGGACAGTGTGTAGTCTGCCAAAGGGTAGGTCTGAAAATGGCACCTTGCCATAGCTGCTTAGGCTCTGAAAGGGTGTGGGACCCAATGGGAGCCCCTCCCTGGAGTGGTTCCATCCCATGATCTCTTAGCAGCTCCTTATGTTAGTTTCAGGGGTTGGGAGGGTTGAGGGGCTCTCTTGCGGCAGGACTACAGGACTCCGTGGTAGGGACTAGGGCCTCTGGAAGTCATTCACCCTTTCCTCGCCTTGGGAATTTACTCCTGCTCCCAGTCCATCCCCTCCAGGAAGGCTATCTCTCTTTCCCTTCTCCTTACCTGCTTTCTGATGTTTCTTGTTACTTCCCTGTTGAATTCCAACATTCTCTCTTGGATGGTGTATTCGAAGTGTGACTGTTTATATACAGTAAGTGGAAGAGGTGGGCACCAAATGCTTCTAATCAGCCATCTTGAAGACCCTCCTCAGCTTTCTTTTTTTTTTTTTAAGAACAGTTTTAGATTTGCATAAAGTTGAGAAGTTTAGAAAGTCCCGTGCACTTGCACCCAGTGCACTCTATTACTAACATCTCACATGAGTACACATTTGTTACAACTAATAAACCATAATTGATACATTACCAACTGAGGTCCGTGCTTTCTTCAGAATTCCTTCATTTTTACTTAATGTCCTTTTTCTGTTCCAGGATCTTTCAGCTAGTGTTTGTGTCTCCTCAGGATCTTCTTGGCTGTCATGGTTCAGTCTCCCTTTTTATACCAACTGTTTTGTTTGGTCATTTACTTATTTATTTTTGAGATGGAGTCTGACTCTGTCACCCAGGCTGGAGTGCAGTGGCGTAATCTCGGCTCACTGCAGCCTCTGCCTCCTGGGTTCAAGCAATTCTCTTGCCTCAGCCTCCCGAGTAGCTGGGATTACAGGCGTGCGCCACTAGACCTGGATAACTTTTGTATTTTCGGTAGACATGGGGTTTCACCATGTTGGCCAGTCTGGTCTCAAACTCCTGGTCTCAGGTGATCCTCCTGCTTCAGCCTTCCAAAGTGCTGGGATTACAGGTGTGAGCCACCGTGCCCGACCCCAACTGTTTTAGATTATTCACTATTGTGATTATGAAATGAATTCATGGTGAATGCATATACACATAGTTGAAAAATCAATATAATGACTTAAATTATAATAGAGGAGGGATAAAAGTAAAGCAATACATAATTAATATTTAAATGCTCACTTGGAGCTACACCAGAGGTCATAAAGTAGTCAGATACTTGTACCTATTTATAATTTAAGAACAAGGAGACAAGCACTCTAGAATATTAATTACACTTTTTCTTAATTTTGTTGTTATTTTGAAACAGGAGCTGAAGAAATATACACATGTGGAATTACTGGGTCTGTGGGCATCATATATGTGTTGATTGCTGAAATGGAAACTATGAATGGAACTGGCTTCTGCATCCCACTTTTCTAAAGTGGTAAACAGAATACCATCCCTTTCTAGACTTATACAGTAGTTGCATTTTCAGAAAATCCTGTGTGTATTCACAAGATGCAAAAACATTTTGTGTTTATTTGTAAAACAAAGTTAAAGTTCCAAGGTGATTAGATGCACATTTTAACTGAAGTAAAGGTCAGGTCTGACATATGAAAGCCGTGTGGGACACAGACCAATCTCCTGTATCTGGGGCCACCCCCAACTAAATGTCAGTGGCCCCCTCCTCCCATCATTGTGATGACCAATGAAAGTACCTGCAAATTTCCAAAATGCCCCCAAGGGGGCGGTACCCCTGTGGATTATGGTGGTGGGCAGAGGTCGACAAGGCAGATTGGCCTTCATTTGTTCATTGGTTAAATGAGGACAGTAGTAGCTGAATGAGGGAGACAATGCATGTAAAACACTTAGCTAGGTGCGGGCACATGGTATGTCCTCCCAACATGTAAACTAGTGCTATCTTCCAGTTAATCAGCAGGGATTGTTTGAGGTGACCCTGTGCCCTCGATATCCAAGTAGGTGTGTGTGAGTAAGGAATGCGGATCAGGCAAGCACCCACCATCTGTGCCCCACACATGAAATAAACAGCGAATTATTAATCAATTACAGTCAGAAAAAGGAGCACCCAGCGGGGAGCTGGAGTCAGAGAAATCTTTCCGGAAAAGACAATAGTGGCTTGTTTAATGAGGGCAGCTGAAACATGATGGGAAATATATTTATTCCATGAATAACAAACAACTCCTAGATCCTTGCATCTCAAAGTGTGGTCTTGAGACCTGGAGCATCAGCAGCATCGGGAAGTTTGTTCAAAACAGAATCTCAGCCTGGTAGAAAACAAAAAAAGAAACTTTTAACGTGAGGAATGAAAGCCCCT